AACTACTGCAAGGATGACGGTATAGATTATCACAACACCGTAAATCAAAGTGAATGTATTTATTAGGGTGACTCTCTTTGTTGTCCATGTGTGTGCTGTTTGCTGGCCCATACTCTTATTATTTTAATTTATGGGTTGTTTTTTCCAGTCTTTCCTCCTCCCCCAGTACCAGAGCCTGTCTGCAAGTTTTACTCACGCCAGTTAAAATCAGCATAATGAAATATCACAGCCAGCCCGACAGCTCCGCAAGGACATCGGGGTGGCACAGGACAGTGCCCACAGGCGCCCTGCCAGCCCCGACCCCTGCCCCGCAGCAGGGACCCTGACAAAGGCAGCTGGCGAGCACATCACGCGCAGGAACAGAGCCTTCCCCGACTTCACAGGTCTCACTATAATTAAGTGCAATAATTCTAAGCAATTTGCAAATCCCACCTCATCTTCCATTTGGTTATAATCACGTTCTCATCATTAACAACGCCGCGTTTCCATGTACTCGGAGCGAGGTGCGGTGGGAATCCAGGCACAGCACAGGACCCCCTCTGCTCCCCGCCTGCCCCAGCTTCACTCAAGCCTCAGCTGCAGCCCCTGATGACCCCACCAACCTCAGGGAATTCCCAGGCACAGGGATCTATGCACGCAAAGCCACAAGGAGTTGGGTGCTCAGAAAGCACGACATCCCCCAGAACCCCACTTGACAAGAGAGGGCCCCACCACATGGCTAAAGCCAAAGGAGCAATCAGCACCTACTTTGGGAGCACGGAACCACACAAAATAAATGACTTTGGAAAATGGCAATTTTTAGTTACATCCATTGTTCTGTGGATAAGCAAGCCTTTGTGCTCCCACACCCACAGCTCTGGTCGCACACTTCCAGCAAAGTGTTCAGGAGAGCAAAGCGAGCCTGCTGGGGGCTGGAGCTGCACGGGGAGAACAGACACCAGCAACCAGCTCCAGCTTGGTGTGTCCTGGCACATTGTAACCGTGCGATATTTTCTTGTGTGTGAAATCACAGCTTGCTCCCAGGAAGTGATAGTTCATTTCTTAATGAGCATCTTTCCCCAAAATTGAGCAGAATCCCTTGAGGACCTGTAGCCTTCGACCTCCTGCAGCAGTTTCTCGCTGTGCATCCCCTAAGGACACAGGTCTGGTCCCGCTGAGCAGCCAAACGCTGGCTTGAGGGATGCAAATCTCTGGCACAAGACACCACTGTGGCATTGTCTGCACGTTATTATCAAGTGTCTTCCTGCTCAGAACACAGGGTGTTGGTTGATGAGAAGCTCAACATTAGCCAGCAATGTGCTCTTCGCCCACAAAGCCCTGTCCTGGACTGCACCAACAGCAGCATGACCTGCAGGGCAATGGAGGGATCCTCCTCCTCTGCTCCCCTCTTGGGAGATCCTAAGCCAGAGCCTGCCTTCAGCTCCGGTGAGCACCCACCTGCACCCCAAACACAGCCCCTGCAGCTCCTGCTACCATCACTGCCCAGCCCCAGCATCTTCCCTCCCTGCTGCCTCCCCCACAAGCACCTCAGGACAGTGCTTTCCTTCCTTTCTCCCTCATCAGTTGGGAACAAGATGCCAGGATGTTTTCTGCCACCCAGGTTAGCCCCAGCCCCACAAGAGGGGATTACAGGGTACTGCAACCACCAGCAGCCCCTTTGAAGCCACAAATCTACAGCAAGGCTTTAGAAACAAAGCAACAGATGACTTTAAGACAATTTTCTACAGGATCTTCTTGGGTGATGCCTAAAGAAACTGATGGTTGGACTTGATCTTAAATGTCTCTTCCACCCTAAACAATTATATGAAATTGCTATGCAAGTCTTTAAAACATAAAATCACAGCACTGACTGTAGAAACAATGTTTAGGGAACCAAGTGTCATTGAAATCAAAGATAACAATACCCTTTACATCAGCTGTTTACCAGTACTAAAGCCCACCAGCCGAATTGGGTGCTCCAGGACTGAGAGCACCCTTCCCCCAGGAGGACACAGCCCCGTGGAGATGGCAGCCCAGGGGACAGCAGGATGAGCGGGGTGACCCAGGGCCAGCAATGAGGAGCAGGAGGGGATGGATTGCAGCAAACAGACAGTGGTGGCTGCTGGCCTGGGACGTGCCCACAGCAGAGCTGACGTCCTGCTCCCTCTCATCACTGCTTCACCAGACCCACAGTGACAGTGCTGATTTCCAGCCCTTTGAGATCACAAGTTTCCACAACACCTGGCTGAGCATCCCAGTCCACATCACTCTTCCCCAGGAGTAGTAACCCATGTTCCATTGCATTGGTGTTTCCACCACATTTCTGTAATACCACACAGGTATCACTTATGGCCATCCATGAGAATTCACGATTTTTCTGGTCTTATTCACCTCTTAACAATCACACAGAAGCAATTAAAGGATCTGGGTTTTTTGCTGCCTCAATTTGTGTAGGCAGGCCAGCTGAGGCCCATGGAAGGACTAAATCTTTTACAGGAGTACACAGGCAAACACCTGTAATTGGGAGAACTGAGTTCAGAAGCTCCTGGCCCTGGCCAGGCTTGATTCAAACTCTCCTAGTTTAGAAACTGGAGGCTGTAGCAGCTGGAATTAGTGTGCTGGATCACAAGCTGAAAGATTCACCCCATCCCTGTACTCCACAGCTACACGGAATGCAAAGCTGAATAAAGAGGGACCCAGATGTGAATACAAAGAGATCATAGCTTCGAAACAGTTTTCTCAGAACAGCAGACCCAAAGCAGAACTGGAAGAACAATTCAGGGAACAAAAATGCACATACTAGCTTAATTTCTGCTGTTACTGACTTTCCTTCATTATTGTTTGGCTTTGGGTTTGTCTTTTTAAGAGCTCAAAGGCTTGAATTCACGGAGTTCCTCCGCTACCCGATGGCAGCACGTGCCTCCACCCACAGCAGGGTTTCCCATGTAGCTGCTAATCCACTCAGACGCTCAACAGCAGAGCCTTGAGTTTTCACGGATTTATGCCCTACACTGCACACAGTTCTGTCTGTTTCACGGTTATTGTTCTCACCAAGTCTACTTCATCATTTAAATTATTAACAGCAGAATTACACTGACTGAAATCTCCTAGAATAGGCAGCTTTAAAATACAAAGGCTTGTATTGTGCTGTATTGATACACATTGACTGGAACAGATACCGTCGAAGAAAGTTAGATTTAAGGGTCATTACTTCATTTCTGTGCTGTTATTTATTTTTTGGCATAAGAGCAACAAAAGAAAAAGCTGGAAAAGCTCCTTTAGATGTCCATCCGTAGATTGGCATTCATATGTTCAAGTACCTTCACGTAATCAGTAGCCTGAAGCTGCCTGATTGATGTGCCACACATCAGAGCACGCAGCACCTTCAGTGCTTCCTGGGCTCACCTCCGTGTAAGCTCAGAGCTGTGGCAGCACCGAAGCGCCTGGGCAGGAGCACATCCCGCACAGCCAAACCGAGCAGAGCTTCCCTGAGCCACAGCGACAGTCTGCAGCCGAGACACAGTTTGTTTTATCAAAGAGGAGTACGACAATATTTGCAAAGCACGGACCTTGTACAAACACATACTGCAAAGATGTAAATTATACACTGGTGTAAATCAAACCCCTGCTGAGAAAAACACAGTGACCCTGGTGGTTGAAGGAGGAAAAGGAGGACAGTGTAGAGGAGCTTCTAGGTTCTAGTTCATTTGTTTCTTCGCCATCTCCTTCTCATTAGGAAGACAAAATTTCCCATCAGGTGTTATACCCCTATTGCTGTCATTAACTATTCAGAAAATAAAAAGAGAAATCAAGTGTTCTAATCACACCAAGTCTCAGCAATTCACAAAGTTGCAAGGAGATACATCGCTCCCCTTTGACTGTATTTTTGAACATGGCACATGAGAAGCAGAGATTGTGAAAAACCACTTATGTTTTAAAAACAAGCAGCTCTCCCCAGCCGCCAAACAGCGCAGTCAGAGGCAACTGAGCTGATCCCAGAGTTAACAATATTCATTAATAACAGACTAGGCAGTGCCCACGTTCAGACTATGCATATGGTTTGAATACAGGGAATTTGCTTTTCCCAAGCACTACATTACATATTCATGCTGAAATAAAAGCCTTTTTTTCACCCAACTTCTAACATAATTGACAGATGGATCTGATTCAGGAAAAGAGTAATCAATACATTCAGATAGTTTCTACCCATGCCATGTTGCCTAGTTTTTGCCTAGTTTTCAAACATTTGCATTATGCAGGGTTCTACATACTTCAAAATAAAATAGTTAAATTTCATACAGCTTTTTATAGAGGACTTCAGTTTAAAAAAAATCTAGCCTTCTAAAGCAAGAGTTTCTCTGCAATCACATCAAAGTCCTATACGTTAGTACAGCTTACACTACATTAATAATGGAAGTCTTACATGCAAAGACAAGTTTCTTTCAAACAAAAAGAAAGTACATTTTGATTACATCATATATCCAAAACCACAATACTCTGGGGGTCATTCAGGTTAGAGCTGCATGAGCTAAAGCTGGTTTAAGGCAAGCTCACAGCCACCGGGTGTGATTGATATCTGAGCACACAAGTTTCATTTCTGACAGTAATACTGAAACCCATCCTAGAAAAAAAAAACATTTCTCACTTATGTGGTGGGGAGGAAGAGACAAAATAATAGTTTTAGATGGACTTAATATCATTATTTGTCAAGTGATAAGTATTGAACTATTGAAATATGCTCTTCCACTACTGCCAGGCATACGAGAAGTCAATGCACAGCTTCAGGTGCACCACACACACCCACCAGGGCTTCCCAAAGACACTGACTAAGGCATCGTTTCCAGCACTCCAGATTGCTGGTCCTAGAGACAACCAAGCTAAGAACAGAAAACTTCAGCAAAACTTCTAATACTCAAATGACTTGCCTTATACCAGACCATTTCAAAATAGATAAAATTTAAGCTCTTTAATTCCTACAGCAGCAGAGAGGTTTAACCAGGCAACCACAGCTAGAAACCTACCTTGCTTGCATCAGAGCAGAGCACTCTCTCTGCAGCTTCAGAGCCATTCCCCCTAAACAGTCCCAACTGCTCTATCCTTCCTTATATTCACTCCCTCCTACCCAAATGACCTCTCAGATCAATTGCTTAAGCCCTTCACCTGTATGGCATTAGGTAACGCTTGTCCCATCAGCAAGTTGTGCTCTACCAGCTGATGTTCGTATCATCAGCCAGCAAACAGGCTCAGGAGCTAGGTCAGGGCTGCTCTGCTGACCCTAGGGGCAGCCCTTTCCTCTAAAAGACCTCCTAGAAGCCCCAGTAAGATTAGAGGAATCCCTAAATCCCAGTGCAAAATCCAAAATGAGTTCCTTTATGCATTGGGTTTAAACATCAGAAGTGCACAAGAGAAACTTAAAGTATGATTCTTCTGTTCTTCCTGACAAATAGCTGGTTATTCTCGTCTTTACCACTTTCCTCTTTCCTCATCTTTCATAATTAGACGTATTACATCAGTGGCCGACCGTCAGCTCTCAGATCTAGCAGAGAGTGGGATGCTCACTGCGTCACTCATCTGCAGCTGAATAAAGCATTCTTTCTCCTCAAGTCCTAATGACACTTCCAGCTGGAAATAGCTAGATTTTCTCCTCAGAATAAATCAGCCCACAGAAAACACCTTGCAGAAGATTAATTACAGAGTCGAGGTTGGAAGGCACGTCTGGAGGTTGTCTAGTCCAAATCCCTGGCTTAGGCAGGGTCACCTGGAGCAGGATGGCCATGGCTGTGCCCAGCCAGGTCTGAACATCTCTAGGGAGACTCCAGCCCCTCTCTGGGCAGGCTGTGCCAGACGGGTGCAGGACGCTGCCGGACACGTGGGGCTTTGCTGGGAGGGCAGAAGGCTCAGATGTATCAGATCTTACTGCCCCTATGGGGTGAGCTCTCCCTTCCAGGCAGATGGGCATCTGGGTTTTCTTAAATTTGGTACTAACTGTGAAGAGCTGCTTTTGAACAATTCATTTATTTCCCAGTTATCTGTTGCGGGGTGCAGCAGCTGTTTGTAAGGAGTCTGAAAGGCTCAGAAAGGAGCACAGGCCAGCCATGCTCAGAAACTCCCCGTGGGGTCTCATTGCTATTTGCTTTTTTCCATCTGTGCCAAAATACACGCGCTTTTAATTCAGATGAGCATCACCACACAACTCTTCCCCGAGCACATGGGTATGGATGGAAAAGGTCCTGGAACCGCTGGTGGCAGCCACGTAGAAGCTGTGTCCCAGGGGCTGCAGCCAGCAGCAGGAGCTCACCACGGGAAGTATTTTGGAGTTCCTCTGACACGTTGTTCTCTTTTACATCATTTTTTCCTAATGGTATCTTTAATCCAAGGGGTGATAATTGCTAATAATTAGTTCATGCACTATGTTCTAGTCAGCGTTGCCTGTTCTGCCCGCACTCCGCTGTCAGCCAGCTCCAAGCAGCCGCACGGGAGATGCAGAGGGGAAGATGGGCTGTGGTGTCCACCTCCCTGCTGCCTGCCGGGGGCTGCTCCAGCCGGGGAGCGAGCACAGGATCACAACATAAAGCATTAGACATGCTCTGGAAACCCTTTGCCCAGCTGCTCATTAGTACTGCATTAGTCTGTAAACTCAAGCGCAAAGCGCCTAGTTCAAGTTGCTCTTTCTTGATGTACTTGAAAGGTCCTGTGAATTTATGGCAGGATAATGCGGAGCACAGCACCTATTTATGAGTTGATCATTTGTACAAAACCCCCCTCAAAGCGCCGAAGGTTACCATTCGACCAAGAGCTGCACTTAGCTGCTCAGAGGGCAAGAAAGCCAAGTATATGAAAGTTAAAAGCATTAATAAAAGTGTGACTTATAAATTACTTCATCTTTGTCACCCTTTTTGAAATGGGGTGAGAGAGGCCAGGGTAAATTTATTTTTTAAGTGCTTTCTGAGACCTGCAAGGGTCAGCCCTGAAATGCTGTACTCTATAAATCATTCCATGCGTATCTGATAGATGCGAGTGCATCATAACATTAACAAATATTGATTTGTTTATCATTTGCAACAGTTTATAGCTAAACAGCAGACTTTATAACATTTGTAGGGAGAAGAAACTTTAATCGGTGAGAATGCAGAACAGAAACTCCCTCGGCCACGGGAGAAAAGAGCAACCAATTTCGTTCTGTCACCCGACTGCCTGCTCGGTGTACGTGTTACACTCATATTATGAAACCAGTTATTTCTCAAAATGACTAAAATTTTCAGGCATTTCACGAAACAACTTGTATCACTGCTAAGAACAACAGTGAAACCTTGCATTAGGAGCGCTCTGGTGAATCACAGCCACGAGAGGCAGAAAATGGAGCCTGCAGCGGGCAGCCAGCGTGTGGATGTGAGTGCTACGTGACAAAGCTTTTGTCGGGAGCAGAAGACAAACACCGCTCCCCCGTCCATCCCGGGGAGCTCTGCTCTGCCACGCCACAGGGAGCCCTGTGCCAGGGCCGGACCCCGCTGCCCATGCAGGGTGCTCAGCACCGCTCACTGCCCAGCCCGGGAGCAGCACGGGTGCTGCGGCACCGCTCACACCATCGCACAGCCTGGTTAAGGCAGAAGGAGGCTGGTGGGTATGGGAATGGGTATGGGTATGGGAATGGGTATGGGTATGGGTATGGGTATGGGTATGGGTATGGGTATGGGTATGGGTGTGGGTATGGGTATGGGTATGGGTATGGGTATGGGTGTGGGTATGGGTATGGGTGTGGGTATGGGTATGGGTATGGGTATGGGTGGGTATGGGTATGGGTGTGGGTATGGGTATGGGTGTGGGTATGGGTATGGGTGTGGGTGGGTATGGGTCTGGGTCTGGGTCTGGGTCTGGTCTGGGGTGGTCTGGGTCTGGTTTGTGGGGTGGGTATGGGTATGGGTATGGGTATGGGTATGGGTATGGTATGGTATGGTATGGGTATGGGTATGGGTATGGGTATGGTATGGGTATGGGAATGGGTATGGGTAAACCTGCACCTCTCTGCACGTCACTCAGCGTGAGGGTCAAACAGACGCCTAGAGGCACTTCACAGTCACGTCGCCGTATGGTTTCCATCCATTTTATGAAGTCACCAAAACCAGTAATTTCACAAAATGACTGGGTGAGTAACTCACACCATGGAACACTTCACATAAATGTCCCTGGGGGTGCAACAAGGACATGCGTTTCACGGCACCTCCAGCCTGCTAGCAGCACCGACCAAGCCACCCTGACTGCCAGCCCCACCTTTCTGGCCAAAATCAGCACCCAAGGTGTAAGTCTTGGCCCTCAGCCCCCTCCAGCCTGTCTGACAGGCACAGAGCATCGGGTCGTCACTGGCCCACCAGTGGGCACCAGCACCTGGGAACTGCTCTTAAACCATCACAGCCTGTGAGGCTTATAGACCTGGCAAAATACAGCAACACTTTTTTTTTTTCCTTAATTTAACATCATGCGGCATGTTGTAAGGGTGCAGAAGACACCTGTAGCAACAGGAGCAGGTCAGAAAAAATACAGTAAAAATCTCACTGGCTCAGTGAGGGAGACAAACTCTATGGTGAGTCTCTTCCTGATGCTTTAAATCATTAAATATTAGGGTAAAACCAAAGTTTTTCATTAAACAGCTACAATAAAAACTGGGTTATTTTCTTTCCCCACCCTCTTTTTTAAAATAGCACAACTCTTTGCTTTTATTTATTTTTGGAACTTGACAGGCTTGATATCCAATTTCTATGCAGAACCACCCACTATTCACATCTCAGAGAGCTAATAAAGTGTAATAAAATCGCCCCAGGAGACATGGATACGCAGACATGCACAAACTTTTCACAAGAATACTAACTATGATTTCTTCAGGTGGGAAAGCAAAATTATGTAAGATAAATGAAAACAAAATCAAATAAACATCAGCCAGCAATAGCAAAACCTGGTTTGCAAAGGATAAGCAAAAGGATGGGCACCTTCTTTCCTGTGCGGCTGCCAGGATGCTTTTCCATGGGGAGTTCTGCAGAAGCAGAAGCAGAAGAAAAGTGGCTTGGGTCTGGTTTTGGTGTGGTTTCTTTGCCCCAGAAAAGAGCATCGTGCTACAAGGGATTGTAGTCTGAGGGCCTGTTCCATCAACACGGGAGAAAATATTTGATTTCATGCTTCAGCATAAAGCAGGGGTGGGCTCCTGTCCGTTGTGCTTCACACCACAGCAGGTCAGTGCCATGGTGAGTGTTACTGCACAGAGAGTCCTGGGTCAGTGGCACATCACACCAGAAACACAGCGAAAAGGAAAAACTGGTGGAAGCCAGCCAGAAGGGAACGGCACACCGGGAAGGATGAGCAGAGGTAAGGGAAGATCAGCTTCAAAAGCGACAGTGCTCGATCTCCAAGGCGGGTCACTTGGCCAGAAGACACATAGCTGAGAAACAAACCCTTCAGGGACTGAGAGAAAAAAGAGCAGGCTGCTTGCCAGCAAAGCATCGTGTGGGCAGCTGGCCTGTCACCTGCAGGTCAGCACACCGAGCAGTGCCCGCAGCACAGCCGCTGCCCGTTTGGCTTTGCAGCACCCCGATGTCCCTCAGGGCTGCAGCCCAGGAGCGGGGCCGGCAGGCACGGGGCACCAGCCTGGAGCTGGCAGCAGCAGGTTGCTGAACCCCCGATGGATGCGGGGCCGCTTCCAGCCCATGCTGCGGGGGCTGCAGCCACGGTTTCACCTGGGAATGTGCTGGGAGCTGATGATAAAGAAAAAAAGGAGCATTTGCCTCTGTGTGCCTCCCATCGCCTCTCCTGTGGATGCCCAGGACACGCTCCTAAAGGCGTAAGAATACTTACTGTGCCACAGGAGAGGCAAATCCCTTACTGAAGTGATCTGAAAGGAGCAGTTTCTGCTGGGGATTATTTCTGGCTGTTAGGGAAACCTGCATTTATTGTCTTCTGTGATTTCCTATAGCCATCTCCTTTTGTGCACTGTCTGGCCTGCTGTAAGGCTTCTTGGGGTATTTCTTTGGCTTGGTTCAAAGTCCCATATAAAACATTTTTCTTGTCCTTTTATCTTCCCCTATCTAAAATACCACCAACAACTAG